GCAGTAAGTTCATGGTGCAGATGTTTTCCCTTTTGTTCTAACTTTAAACTTTTTATAATAAGAAATAGATATATTAAACCATCAAAATTTGGAAGTTTTCTTTATAAAGGATTATTTTATCTAAGCTACCTCTATTTTCTAATAGTTAACAATTATATAGCACCTAAAATGTTCAAATTACTTCATGTTTATTAACACACATAATACTTTTAAAACTATGTTATCTATGAATTATTCATGTTTATTAAAGGGGAAGAAACTGAGATCCAATAGATTAGATAACCTGCCTATGATCATATATAAGCAAATTGGTAATTGAGGGAACTGGAATTTGAATTTAACTACTTTGCCTGCAGAGTATATATTCTTAACCACTAAATACATATTCAAAGAGATGTGTAGTAGTCAAATTAATGCAGCTCCAGAGTTGTTTATGTTCTAAATCCTACAATCTGTAAATATTTTACTTTACAGGGCAGAAGGTGGCGCAGATGTGATTAAATTGAGGACCTTGAGATAGGAAGACTATCCTGGATCATCTGAATGAATCCAATGTAATCAGTAGGGTCCTTAAAAGTGGAAGAAGGAATAGCAAAAGGAAAAATGATTCAATAATCTATCATTACTGGATTTGAAGAAAGAGGGGCATAGTTAAGGCACAATCTACAAACTGGGAAGGACGAGGAACATTTTCCCGTATAGCCTTCAGAAGTGTACAGCTTCTGACCCCTGTATTTTAGTCCTGTGAAAACCAGTTTCAAGTTACTAAACTTCTACTGTAAAATAATATGTATGTGTTATTTTAAGTCACTAAGTGAATGAAAATTCACTGAAGTAGCAATGTAAAAGTAATACAATATGTCACTGAGTGAATCTTCTAAAACGGGCTGTGCTCAAATTTCTCAGGAGTTTTTGAAAAGCAAGCATGTCGTTAGATAATTCTGCTCATTCACTAGACTGTTGATACTGTGCTTGATTTCTTTTATTTTTTCAGTTGTTTTCAGCTTAGACACATTTACCATTTGATTATTCACAAAATTTACATATGAGAAATGAATAATCATAATCATCTATTTTAGTTTAAGATTCACAGTGATTTTACTCTAAATACACACACTCTATAATTTTTATTTCAATATTCTCTGTTGAATGACTAATATTTTCTTAAGCAATTGTTACCTGCTATTAAGTCTCATATTTTATAAATAATCAGATAAAAAGATGACAAATGGAGAAAGTCATGTTTTTTATGCTGTTTACAGTGTTAAGAACCACAAGCATCTAAAACTGGAATCCTCAGTGGATTCAATATCATCCAAAATTTAAATATAAAGGTCAGCATTTTTCTCCTCATTCTTTTACCACCAAATATCTTTCTCTTTTATCCTCCCATACACAAATATCCTTTTCTGTCATTGTTTGCTCTGCTTATTTCTAGTAGTCCTTGCCAGTATTTTTAGTAACCTGTAAGTACATTGATTTCTTTGTGAAAGTATAAAATAGTGCTTTGAGAAATGAGAGGAAAAATTTGATTATCATAGGAGAGGAGAAGTAGTCTTGCATGGTCACAGGGTTAGGTAGAGTTGGTGTTGGGAACCAAACCCAGACATCCTGAATCCAGTACCTCTACCTTCACCTCTTCATGACACTGCCTGGTGGATACACATTAGTGGGTAAGATAAGTCTCCATTTCCTAGAGTGTTCTGAGATCAGAGATTATTGCACTTAGTTCATTTTTTAGCCAAGCATGCTAAGGTCCATATTGAGCAAAATCATTTACCCGAGGCCACGGAATCTTTCTGTTGAGTAGCACTCAGTTTAGGAAAGCATAAAGTCAAAGGGAAGCTAGCCCACAATTAGATTAATCTTTTGATCAAAGCCAAGAAGAGGTCAGTAGATCCTGGAGGTTCTTATTCAACTCTGTCCTCGGTAGGACATATCATGGTTTTTCCTCTTTGAGGCAATCTTGAGATAAGGTTGATTACTGCTTGTGAGTCTTCCTATTCATTGGATATTTTGGGCAATTAGAGCTGACTGTTTATTTATTCATTCTTCAATGAAAATACATTTAAGGGCCTAGATTCTGAGATTCCAAGAGCAATTAAGTCATGGCCCTCTTTTCAAAAAGCAGGGCAAGCATAAAACATTTTTGTCTGTCATGGTGGCAAAGGACAAGTATGGAGGCAGACATTCCTAGGTGTGCCCTCTGGCTCTGTTGTTTATTGGCAATAGGAACTTGGACAAAGTTATAAAAACTCTTTCAGTTGCTCCACATCATCTGAAACCTAGCTATGGCATATCCTAGAACAAAGAAACATCCACGTGCTGAGAGACCTGGAGACAGTAAAAAAAATGTGTTTGGCCTGAGAGTTTTAGTAAAAAGAATCTTCAAAGTTAATGCATCTTAGCATTTTATGATTTTGGAAAGATGAAATGCCAAATCTTGGCAAAATAAGTTTGTGGTTGAAATATATGTAGTGATGGGTATGAGAGGTAGTGCTGGAGGTGAGTTCTCAGTCTGCAGCCTTCTGAGAAATCCTCAGAGCTCTGTGTTTCTGTGCTATCTTGCTTGTGTAGGAGGAATGAATCTCTCTCTTTGGCACCGGCCTCCTGTTCACACACTGACTCAATGTTTTCCATGTTTTTTGGCATAGGTTACTTAATTTCTCACCACCACCCTGGAAAGTATAGATTGTAGATTTTTACAGATGATGACAAATAAGTGAATCACTTATTTGATTTCCAGACTATAACATGTTCATGAAATGATGAAAGTAAATGTAATTCCATTTTCTTCTGTTGATTTTTGGTCTCATTCAGGTAGTTTTAGGTTTGTGCCTGTGATCCACTCCAGGTCCCTTGACAAGATCCTGTCTTTGCAAAAACATCAGGGACCATGATGATGGAATCTGGTCTCATGTTATGTCATTGGTAACTTTAATCTTTTGTGCAGTCTTTTACTCAAGACCGCACAGAGATCTGATTCCAAATCTTACACGAGCGGATGTATGTTCTAGAGCTCAGTAGTTGAGTTTCTCTGCGGACTGTGCAAAAGGTTTGGCCCTTTGGACATCCCTCCTTCACTGTCCAGCTAAATGTGAAATAGCCTGCAGATAAAATACAATTTCATATTCATGGGTCATATGGAAATCATTATATTTAGTGCTTTTCCTCTGTCAGTATGAATTATTCCCCAACCGTCCAAGAATCTGTGATAAACTGGTATGTTCAGTGGTTTGGAGTCCAATGAAAAAGATCCACTATCACATTTTGTGTTATTTATGTTCCATTATTTGCATTTTGCCATCATTAATTGAGTGAGTATTTTATACCAGGCCTTCAAAGTGTGTAAAGGTGAAGAAAATATAACCTTTTCCCCTCGAAATCTAGTTCTCAATAAGGAGAATCAGTGGTATCTGGTTTTATTTTTATTATTTTTACTTCCCAAGACAGACATTTTATGCCATTCGATATAGAACACCTAAGAGTCAATATAGAGAAGTGATCACAGCTCTGTAGTTTGCAGCAGTAAAACGGAGTCCATGTCTTGTGCCAGAATCTTTATACAAACCATTTCACTTAATCTGCACAAAAATCAGCAGAGGAAGGCATCAGAGTGATTCCCATTTGAAGTAAACAAACTGGGATAAAGAACGAGATTTGCTAGTGGCAATGTCAAATTCAGAGTACCATGGAGCTGTCTTGCTCCAAATCATTTGATCTCTCAAAGCCTCAGTCTTATTACCCGAAAAATGAGAGGAAGAGGGTCCAATTCCTTCCTTCATTATTTTGCAATCAAACTAAATGTTTTTTTATCGTGAAACATACACTAATTTGATAGCACATCCAAATTTTCAAAAATCTGTAGGTGATTAAGTATAAAAAAAGAACCCTTTAGGAAAATTAATATAGCATTTTTAGGGAAGATCATGTATATATCACACACACACAATCATATCGACAAACCCTAATTTTGTTTTTAGCTGGTCAGAGGAGGAATGATTCATAGCTCTAAACTGGGGTAGAAGAACTCAGTGGCCTCACACGTTTAGCAAGATTGCTAACAATAACAAGTGGACTAATCCATAGAGAATCCATTTTAGAGATTTAACTCATGGAGAATATTGATATCTAACTTGGTCAGTCCTCCTGGGAGATAAGCAGTCACCTTGTCATTCTGTGTGAAAAAATACACAAAAACCCAGGATAATGTTGCTAAATAATTAATTGGATTATTATTGAGGCTTAACAGATTTGTTAAGAAGCCACCCAGATGGTTAGGCTAGCAGTTTCCATATATTTGCTATTAGAATATAGCACAGGATGTAGAAGTTTTACATAGCATTCTGTATGCATAATTCATATTGTGAGTAGAGTCTATTTGAAACCCACTGATTGGGTTTTTGACTCTGTTTTAAGGAGCAGATATGGAGGAATTTATGGCATCTCAATTTCTTAAGGGATATATGTAGTCATTTAACTATTAAATAAAAGTATCCAAATTATTTGATTCTTATATGTATGAAAAATATTTTTAATATATGCTTTTTTGTCTGAGGTGTGAGAAAGACCTGTACTATACATCAATAGAACTGGAAAAAAATAGGTATTGTATTTATGGAAAAAGTGAAGGAAGAAAAATATCATGTTTGATTTACCCTCAGAGAATAGCCCTCCTTAGCAATAGATCCCCACAAATTGCTACATGAAATATTTCTTTGTTTGAGCACCCACAGACACAGAAGAAAGATTATCATTCAGTGAAAACTAATGGATGACTTAGCCAAATTATTATCTCATCAGCTCTTAAATCAAGCACTTGAGTGATCCACATGAAAGTTGAGGCACTGGTGTTTTTAAGCATCTACAGTATATAGCACATCTGTTGTCCTATGACAGCAATAAGAGATAATGATATGATCAAATGTCATTGATTTCAGTCTTTTCTCTTTCATGACTGTTGGGTACATTACTATTAATTCAACTCATTGTTTTGAAAGGTGATGAAATGGATGGAAGAAAACCACCAGCCTGCCCATGTGAAAATATGAGAACTGGGAATTCATTTTGGAATATTGTTGGAGTCTGGCGTGTGAGTACTTCCCTCCCTGGTAAAGTCTCCAAATATCTGAGAGATTCTTCCAATCCTCTGCCCTACTTTGAAACAACACTCTTACTGGTGTTTTGGGATTGAGGTCATCCAGTGAGGTGCTGGCTTAGCCTGCTGGTGTGGTATTTAGGTACAATCTTCTTTGTTAATGGTAGGTAAGTTGAGGAAAGTTCCGGGCAGCATTCCTCCTGGATGCAGAGTGTGTCTTGCTTTGAGCGCAGGACTTGGTCTGGAGAGAACCACACTCAGATCTCGAGGACACAGCCTTTTAATCATCTCTTCTGGGTTTTAGAGACTCTGAGCAGAAGAGCTTGTCCTCTCAAGCATGAGGCTAACATGGTTGCCAGTGTCCTACACAAATTCTCACCTCTGTAGAGAGGAGTCTTTCTTTGTCCCCATTAAATTTATTGGTACATTTAAAGCAAACAATACAGTTACATTTCTCATTGGGATCTTGTACCTTTACATGATATGTCTTGATTCTTGTTTTTCCCCATAGCCCTGCTCTTCCTTCACCCACTTCACCCTTCCCTGTTTACAAACACTTTGTTTCCATTTTTTTTCTTTTTTTCACATTTTTTCTTTTCCCTTATTTCCTTTCCCCTTCCCTTCCACTTCCCCTTTAGCCATTTTCTTCCTATTTCACCCTCTCAGTTATACCATTTGAACCTTATTTACACTTTAAGTTTTTCATACCAGAAAAACCATTTGGTATTTACTCATGTGTCCTATTTATTTCACTAAAGAGTATAGCCCAATGTGCATCCATTTAGTTATAAACATTTTCAGTTTCTCATTCTTTATGGCTGAATAGCACTCCATTTTATAGGAAAAGCACATCTTTATCTAGTCTCCAGTTGATGGACATTTGGGTTGTTTCTGAGTTTTAGCTATTACAAACTGTGCCACTATAAACATGGGTGCACATATATTGCTGTGGTATGATTCTTTTCATTCTTTTTGAAAGATACCCAGGAGAGGGCTAGGTGGGTTAAATGGAACCTCTAGTCCTAGTTCTTTGAGGTATCTCCATATTGGTTTCCATAGTAGTTGCACCAGTCTGCACTCCCACCAATGATGGAGAAGGGTTTCTTTGATGCACAGCCCCGCCAGCATTTGTTATTGGTTGATTTCTTGATAGCAGCCATTCTTTGTGGGGTGAGGTGGAATCTCAGTGTTGTTTTCATCTGCATCTCTCGAATGACCAGTGATGTTGAACATTTTTTCATATATTTATTTGCCGCTTTTACTTGTTTGTCTGAGAAATGTCTGTTCATTTCAGATGCCCATTTTTGAATCAGGTCTTTGTATTTGGGGGGTCTGATCTTTTGGAGTTCTTTATATATTTTAGATAGTAGTCCTTTGTCTGAGGAGTAGCTGGTAAAATTTTTTCACACATTGTAGATTGTCCCTTAGCTCTGTTGGTGATTTCTCTTGCACTGCAAAAACATTTTAATACAATGAGATCACAGTTGTTTATTCATTGTGCAAGTTGTCATGCTGCTGAGGATTTAAAGTCTTCTCCTATGCCAATGTCTTTAAGAGTTCTACCTAATTTATTTTCCAGTAAGTTTAGTGTTTCTGTTTTGATATTTAGATCTTTAATCCACTTGGATTTTAGTTTAGTGTATGGTGAAAGATAGGGGTCTGGTTTTAATCTTTAGCAAGTTGAAATCCAATTTTTCCAGCACCATTTATTAAAGAGGCTATCTTTCCTCCAGTGAGGAAAAAATTTAAAAATTTGAATCTAAACTATTTTAACATATACTGATTACTTGGTTTTATACAGTTCTTAATCTGTTCACTAATATAGGGTTCTATAAAGGACTAGAATCAATGACAACAAGGTAGTAATGGACACTCTTAGGATGCAGATTGTTCCCCACTGAAGGGAACCAACACTCCATAGACATGTTTGATTATAGGCTTTGAAGTAGAACATGTACAATGAATCTTAGCATTTTATCATAATATAGAGGCATAAACTATCAAAGAATAATAAGATAATTTAAAAGAAACTAACTGGAAATTTGAGAGATTTTCCTACTGTCTCAATAATCTAATCAAAATAAATAATGGTTATTATATTGGATTGATGTATATCAATCACATATATAAAAATCCATGTGTTCCTAGTGATACTTAAAAATGTATTTCAAGAAACATTGTCTTGGCCACCATAGAATACCAAAACATTACTCTTTAAGTTTAGATATTAAGGTAAAATAAATATTTAGTTACCTGTAATCCCAGTATTCTGAGAGGCTGAGGCAGGAGAATCTCATGTTTAAACATAGCCTGAGTAACTCTGCAACTTAGTGAGATCCTGGATCAAAATTTTAAAAAGACTGGGAATGTAGTTTGGTGCAGATGCTCTGGGTTCAATTCCAAGTACTCTCCTCAACACATTCACACAAATTATCCAGGATTTCCTATATAAAGTCTATTTTACAAATTAATAAATTAATAACATAATTTATAAAGGATATTTCATGAGAGAGTTCTTGCTAGTACTTGAAGAAAGAATGATAGTGTCAGAGAAATCATCCTTTAGACATACTACTTTTAGTTTTTTTGAAGTCTAGTTGATAAATACAATTTGTATATATTTAAGATGTATTGTGTAGTGATTTGATATGTTGTAAATATTTTAATTCTGTGATAACCTCAATCAAGCTATTCAGATATCCGTCACCTTGCATAATTACCTGTTTAGTGATGAGAACACGTTAGATTTACTTTTTAAGCAGATTTTGGGAATTAAATACAATGTTGTTAACTATTGCCACTGTACATTAGATCTTCCATCCCAAATCATTTATAAACAGAAGTTTGTGTTTGTCACAAACATTTTCCCATTACCCCTTCACTTCCACCTCCTACCAACTACCATTCTATTGTCTGCTTCTATGAATTTGCTCTTGATTTGCACATACAAGTGAGATCACATAGAATTGATCTTTACTTGCCTGACTTGTTTTACTTTGGATATTTGAACTTCTGTTTTCATCCCTGTTGTTGCAAATTGCAGTGCTTTTGTCCATTTAGTGCTGCAACAGCAGAATCATGAATTGGGCAATTTATAAAGGAAACTTCTTTATTTCTTAGTGTTTTGGGGGTCGAGATGTCTCAAGTCAAAGGGGCAGCTTATGATGTGTTAAGTTGCCCTATGGCAAAAGTCAGAAGGGCAAGAGAGTGCCAGGGAGCAAGAGAAAACCAGATTCACTTTTATTAGAAGCTGACTCTCTCAGTAGCAAACCAATTCCCATAGTAAGAACTTTCATACATTCTTTTTCTAATTTTTACTTTAACTCGTACATGTTTGCAGTACATAATGATCTATAATGTGGAGTAGGTACATGTATATAACACATCTTAATTCTTTTTTCATCCACTTCCACTGTCCCTTCTTCCCGCCGCCCCTATCCCCTTTCCTTTGGCAAAAGATCTGTCTTCTTATTTCCTGTTATCTGTCTTTTATTTTGCTCTTTAGTTCATTTATACTTCGAGTTTCTCATATAAGAGAAATGTGATATTTAAGCTTTTGTGTCTGATTTATTACACTTCACATTACAGCTTTAAAGTGCTTCTCTTTTTCCTGCAAATGACTCAGATTTATCCTTCTTTATGGCAGAACACTACTCTATTGTGTATAAATACCACATTTTAATGGAGGTTCCTCACAAAACTAAAATGAAATATCATTCAATCCAGCTAGCCCCCTTCTAGACATATTCCTAAATGAGTGAAAACGTCATATTAACTCTGATACGTGCACACCCATGTTCATAGCTAACTACTCATAATAGCTAAATCTTGGAAGTGGCGTATATGTCCATCAAAAGATGAATGAATAAAGAAAATTAAGGCAAACTTGAAGGCTCAGTTCTCCTGACACGATGATCTCTTAAAGGTCCCACCTCTTAATACTATTGCATTGAGGGACTCAGTTTCCAAATAATAAGGTTTGGTGGATGTAATCTGAGCCTAGAAGGCAGAATTTCTATTTCCTTCCCTTTTCTGGTGAATAATAAATACACATTTGTAAAGAACATTTTCTTACCCATTTATCTATTGATGGATATTTAAATTGTTTCTGCGCATTAGCTACCGCGGATAATGATGCAATGAGTAGGAGGTGGATACCACTAATTTCCATTCCTGGGATTTATACCCAGAAGTGGTATTGCTGCGTAATATGGTAGTGCTTTTTTTTTTTTTTTTTTTTTTTTTTTTTTTTTTTGGTTTTTTTGAGACAGGGTCACTATGTAGTTGGGACTGACCTGGAACTCACTATGTAGCCCAGGCTGGTCTCAAACTCACAGTGATCCTCCTGCCTCAGCCTCCTGGGATTACAGGCATGGGCCATCACACCTAGCCTGATAGTGCTATTTTTAATATTGTAATATGTAGGTGCCTACATATGTTTTTCTTATGGCTGTTCATTCTGTACTCTTCTTAACTCATTTTTCATACAGATACTTCAGAATATCTGTGGGGTATTCTAAATATTCGTATAGAATTGTGGATTTATTTTTCTTAAGAGTAGGATGTATTTATGGAGAGAATGATAGCTTCTGTCTAAGACAGACACAAGGGACCCCAGAAAGTGGGCTTCCCCTCATGGTGGATTTAACCTACATGTATGTGATGACTAGTGGCTTTGAGTACCTTTTCACATACCTTTTATTCATTTACATACCTTCTTTGGAAAAATATTTATTGAGGTCCTTCATCTAGCTTTTAATCAGATTTTTAAAAAACTGTTGAATTGTATGAGTTTACTGTATATTTTGGGTATAAAATCCATAACAGATATGCAATTGCAATATTTTTCCCATTTTTATAAGTGAGTGCCCTTTCATTTTATTATTTCTTTTAATAGGAAGATTTTTAGTTTGATATAGTCCCAATAAACCGACAATAGATTTGTTTAGTTTGGTTTTTGCTATTTGTGGTTCTGGTATCCTAAGCTC